TTGTGTCAAGTATGCTATAAATGCGATTTCTATATGCTACACGCGATGGAGTCCATGTTTTATATGATCACTATATGCTCCACACGAGGGGTTGTGGGTTCTAAATTAATTTGCTATGCTAAATGATGAGTTTCATGTTCTTAATGGGTTTGATGTTCATCCATTCTTTCTCTCTCTCATCTTTTCAAAACGAAATGGGACCTTTTCGGGAGACTTTCAACTCGTGTTTCACAATAAGTTCCAAGCATCACGAAATTATTTTATTAATGTAAATACACATGAATGGGACTTGTTAAATTACCCTTTTCCTTCATTTATTCCTTCATATTTTCTTGTATTGGCATGTTGCGGCTATGTGAAGCAACTTCCAAGTTTCCCTCTATTATGAGACCTTGAAGCATCTTATTGAGCTTCAAACGAGTAAGAATCGACTTTCATTTCGAGTAGTTAGGCTTGTGGCCTCGTTAACCCTAGGGGTTAACGGTGTTGTGTCAGCTTCCGCATTGTGTTGTCAGATCCGAATTCGGATTTGATTCTCTTTCCTTCCTTCACATATACTTGTAAGGACTTGATGAACCAAGTAGGGACTTTAACCATTCCTTTTCATTCTTAACCAAAGATATGCTTCTACATTATGATTCTAAAGCGAGGTTAACGTATGTGTGGTTGATGTCGTGATTGTGGCCCCGTTAACCAAGGGAGTTAACATGGGTATTGCTTCCGCATAGGGATTTCGGTTCCGGGTTGAGTTTTGTTTCATTTCTTTTCATCTTTCATCATGAACAAGGTCCTTGGGATTTAAGGCGTGACATTATGGGTTGATAGAGTAGGAAAAACACCAGTGACACTGTTGACGAGAGGATTGGCAGAGCATGTATGTGGTCTTAGTACTCTAGTGTTGTAATATCTCTACGAATCACAGTGATCTCTTATCATCTGTGGATGTAGGCCGGTTGTGGCTTCATTGGATCTTGTTGTTCGGGCGATTCCGCTGTCCCAACAAATTGGTATCAAAGCCGAAGGCAAAGGAGATCCAGAAAACACAGGTCTCACCAGATTATGCAATGGGCCTTAGTTGCAGGTGAACTCAATCAATCAGCTTGTTTGGTCATGGTGGTCAAAAAATCATGATTGTTGCATGGAATCGAGCTCGACTAAGAAGCACAGACATGAATACGACACAACGTGGATACGGCGGCACGTCAAATCCTAAAAAATTAGGAAACGGGCACGGCGGGGACACGGCAAATAAGAAATATTTTTTCTATATATATGATGTTGTACTTTAAGAAATTGTCAGTAATATTATTATTTACAATGTCATAAAAAAAATAATAATAAAAAATAAAATAAAAAAATAAGGATTAGGGTTTTGTTAGAAAAAAAATTAGGCCTTAGTTAAAAATAAAGGTAAGAATCCATAGAAGAGAAAAAAGTTTATAGGGAATAGAGGAAAAAGAGACAAGAAGAAATTTGTTGTGAAAGTAAAAAAAAGAAGTATTTAGGGTTTGTGAAGAACAAGAAAAAGAAAGAAAAGAGGAGGACGAAGAATAGAGAGAAAAGAGGACAACGAAGAATAGAGAGAAAAGAGATCATTCACCGGTAGCAAAGCTTGGTTGGTGGGACAACAAGAGACTCAAAGAGGATTGGGCAAGGGTTCGAACGTTTGAACTAAAATATAAGAATAAATATCTAGTTGTTTGAATATAAAATTGTTTTATGAAACAACCAGTTTTTAAGTAATTATCTAAATAAACAACTCCTAATATTTACACTTCAACTCAACATTGTTTCTAAAAAGTGGGACACACGTGTCGGACACATATCCATAGCGTGTCGGAAGCGTCTCCACGGTGTGTCTAGATATTCGAAAAAATATAAAATATTCGGACACGTATGTTGGCGTGTCTGGCGCGTGTCGATGTCCGACACGGATTCTTTGCCCTTTTAGGCGTGTCCATGCTTCCTAGGAGCTCGAGTAGTCAACGTGGAGCCTTGGAGGTTCAACTAATGAAGCAGCGTTCAGTGTGGACAATTAGAGTTTTGCAAGAGGATCGTGAAATTTTGGCATGCAATCCTAAGAGTAAGGAGGAACTGGCTCCTTGGGTGAAAGTCCCTGAATCAGACTGGAGAAGTGTAAGTTCCTAAATCAAGCTAAGACGCAAGAATGGTCCATGGCCCATGGGTGGAAGCTAAGTCACATAGACCAAGAGCGGAAGCGTCTTGAGAGCGCCTATATATTATATATTTTATGAATTTGTACTTATTTTATATGAAATATTATTATATAAATTTATTTTTAAAAAAAAAATTATTTTGCTATTTTTTAAGTTATAGTGTCCTAATGTATTTACAAATATATATAATATAGTGAGCTTTTAATATCAAAACAAATAGTGGCCTAATGGTTTGTTTTGCCACTTTCCCTATTAAAGGACCTGTTTCGAGTCTTGCATCATTCACTTTTATGCTTTACAACTCAATCGGCCATTGCACCACGTGGCTAGTCTCATATACATATGCATGATTGAAACACATGGCGGTAATGGACGAAATTAGTTTACATGATTGTGACACGTGGGAGCAAATGGATGAATTAGTTTGAATCCGCGAACTCAATGCGAACTCAAAAATTGAGTACGTGAATTCTGAAATTGGAATTTGCGGTTTCTTGCCGCATCCGTGCTAAATTCGTGAATGTGAGGATCGCCACCCTCCTACACAAATCGTGTGACTAAGGGTGGAAGTCCCAAAAGAGTGATTGATTTTGTGTGCAAGATGGAAGCTGCAAAAGAACTGCCATGATCAATGATGTGGGAAGCGATGATTAAGTTGATGGAATTTGAGCGAAGGTGGAGATTATTAGAAATTTTGTCTCAAATTCCTAGTCTAATTAGGTTTCTATTTCGGAGTTGTATTTTATTAGGCAATTTCGTGTTAGACAAGTCTTGGGCTCCAAGGAATTGTAATCCTTATCCAACAAGGAATTGAGTTTGGAATTTTATAAATTGGTAGCTTAGTTATGTGTTGAGACTTGTGAGATTAAGATATAGTCTCATGATAGAGTTGATAGACAGAGCTAGTTTATAGTTGGTAGAGTAGGAAAAACTGTGGCAAAAGGGCTGGCTCGTGAAGTGGTACATGGTGAAAAGGCATCTACATGATGTTGGTACTCTACTGTTGCAATATCTATACAAATCATAGTGGAATTTCTTTCCATCCGTGGATGGAGGCCCCTTGTGGCCGAACCACGTTATATTTTGTGTTTGTGTGTGATTGTTATGTTGGTTTTCATTGGATCTCATTGTTCGCTCATATCTGCTATCCCAACAGTTTTATCAATAATGTGACTATTTACAACCCTTGGGCACTTGGTAGACTTGTATCCAATCTTCGCATATGCAGGTAAGGAAGCAAGATAGCCACAAAAGAAGATTTTGAAAATCTGCAACATCAAATTTCTCACTACATTAGAACAATATGGAACCATTTCTCCTCTTAATCTAGACATTGGGAGACAAAGATGGCAGAAAACAAAGGCATGTGAAGCTGAGAATTGTATAAGATAGCCTATTGAAGGAAGATTTTAGTGACATATGCAGTCTGGATGTGCAAAATGGAGTGCTACCACATCAGTTAAACCATCAAAAAGCACATGGGCAGGAAAGGTGAAACTGAAAGAAGTTATATTATAAAGGGACAGCCCTCTCTGAGTTCTCTCTGTAAGAATGTAACAAGTTTTAATCAATATAATTTTGAAATATTTTCAGATTATTAACTTCTCTTCACGCTTTTCTCAGATTTCCATTTAGAAATTGAGGCTCGAACAGTGATTCTATAATGACTTCTACAATCCCCACACAGGATTAACACTTTTCCCACTTCCCTAAGCGAAGACTTGGTATTTCTGAACCTTAATTAATATTTTTTATTTAAAAAAGGACGAAATCTGCCTTCATTAAACAAAAAGAGACTTCTCAAGGCAACATTCTTTATTTACATCATATATGTGTCAAATGCACAAACCCAAATCAGACACCAAGATCCTTCGCATGGCATGACTAAAGAAGCAGAAGAAAAACGTCATATTTGTTAGCAGAGAAGAGTTTTTCCATTTATGAGATTGATGGGCCCATTTTCTTACCATATCCCATAAAATTGAAATAATAACTGAGTAAATTCTTAAAGAATAACAACATCAAACATTATACTATAATATAAAATATAAAGTATTCAATTGATGGTAACTATATGCCCGTATACAGCTTTTGGAAACATATCCCATATTCTGAGATTTTGGACTTGAGGATATCCGACACTAACCTGAAATACTTATGACATAGTCTACAACCAGGGAGGAGCCAGAAATTTGCATATTAAGCGTGACGAAAAAAAAAAAAAAAAAAAAAAAAAAAAAAAAAAAAAATGAAGAAAGATCCAACTAACAGTGCAGCAAGACAAGAAGCCAAAAAATAATAGTGTAGTAACAGCGCATTATTGTGTTTTCATGACTAGATTATCTTTTTCACCAATTTGTCAACGAAAACGTACAACAGAAAACGATTGTCAGACATGCCCTTAGTGTATAAAATTCCAGCAATAAATTTAAAGAATAAGTGAATAAAAGTAGAATAAGAAGAGAGAAAAGAAGGTTATTGTATATAAATCATACATGGAGTGCAAGAAAAAGAAAAATATGAGAGATTTCCTCTCTTTTGTAAAAAAAAATGAAGATAATTTTAGAGCCCCCACCCACCTCAACAAGGAAAAATGGAAAATTTAAAAACTTTTTTTGGGCAATAGGAACTGCCAAAATTATTCTCTACAGGTAAATCCATCCCATTAATATTGTAAAGTTGCAACAATTAATACAAATCATGCAAGTTGCAGGACTAGAGTAATCAAATCTTTTGTTTAATAAAAATAAGAAGGAAAAAAAACAAAAAAAAAAAAAAACAAAAACAAAAAAGTAAATAAAAATTTGATGTCGAAGCCTATACCTCAGCAAAGTTCTTTTGGTCAGAAGTAAGACGTTTAGTAGACAACTCCTTCAAGGTTCGGAAAAGAATCATAAAGATCCTGTGGGAAGTAAGAATATCTGCCGATTGAAGCTGTTGTGCTAAAACAGAAAAGAGTTCTGGCCTGAATATGGTCATGTTTGAGGGTCAGAACATATAACGTATATAACTAAAAGAACAATTAAGACATAATAGGGTGTAAAAAGTGAACCAGAAAACCATGTATGGCAAGAGACTAGGATGCTTAACAATTTTAGAACAACAATTGTTTACTATGTATGCTAAAGTCAGCCATGGAAACATGAAAAATGCTGTGAGAAGTTAACTCCTATAAATATAAACAATTCAAAATAAAAGACTATCAGAAAATTCTTTTGAAGAATATGTTATTAAATAAATTAAAATTAACCATGTACTGCTCCATGAGATCATATCCAGTAAATATATACTCAATCTGATCCTAGAAAACTAGAGTCAGTTACATGAGTCTTATTTTCTTTTCCATCAGGACTATATCTTCTGTCACATAATAGGCCATGAGATCTTTTCTTGCTACCATAAATCAAAATCCTTTTTGGCTTTCCTCCACTAAAACCATGTTATTCTCTCTACTAGATATAGTCATTAGTGTTTGATGCACTTGATTGATCATATGTCAACTTAGGTGAGGAAAATGTACCAGAAATAATATCATGCTACAGTTGTCAAGTTAAGTGCTTGGGAATGTTACTTATCACGAAAAAGAAAACCCTGCTTGAAAAGGCTAAGAAAATGCTAGCCTCGCACACCATCAACTAAAGTGTGAGACTTACAGTTGAAATATTCTATCCCATGATTATTAATTCAAATAACACAGGCATACTACTCAAAGGTGCCTTATAAATGCAAGTTCCATACAACTACTCCAAAATATTTTTTCAATGTTTCTTCCAATGAAATCTTAGATTGAGAAACTAAGAAAGAAAAGTTACCATTCTTTGGCATAATCAATACGAGCAATTTTTGAGATCAGCACAGCCAACGTAAGAGCAATCTGTTTTGATGTAAAAATAAATAAATAAATCAAAGAGTAAGAATTAGCAAAGGTAACTTCTAAACGGAAGTAGACTGCCGAACCATTTAACAGCATGAGAATCAAAAGCAGCGTTGACCTCAAAACAAACTGAGATAAAATTCTAATACACTTCACAAAAACTGTTTAGAAGCCCATGAATGCTTACAATATTATGATTGATACAAACACAGATGAAATCACTTCTGTCAACTTTATATAATTGAAAGGAAAGTTAAATAGTCAGTGAAAAAGAATAAGGTACCACCTGATAATTCTCTTCTCTCAAGTGTGACAACAGTTTTTGTCTCAAATATATTTTTTCTTCATTGCTTATGCCCCTGCATATCATAGTAAATTGCAGCTTAGAAAGCATAACAATTTCTCTCATGGCACTAGTACAAGTAAAAAGAATAGAGAATAAACAAAAATGAATATCACTATATAAAACAGAAAAAATAAAAAATTTATTGTAGCAGAACCCAACCCTGCTCCCCTGAGAAAGATAGCGGGATCACAATATTATAGGAGTTGTTATCTCCCTTTCGAGTATCTGAACAGCCCAAGAGCATACGTGTCTACCATTTATTTAGAACTTACTTCAATGAGGCTTTATGTTACTTTCTTATAGAGATTGAAAAATGATTTCTAATCAAGTACTTATATATTTCATTCACAAAATTGTTTCACAACTTTAGTAAAAATTAATCCTAACATGGTATTTGGCCAGGATGTATCATCCTTGATTGTACATTCACATCCCTCAACCCGCGATTACTTGGGTACATTGTTGCTAATCTACTACATATCTTTAGAGTACATGAGCTGAGTAATATGCAACCAATTAACTTCCTGATTGTATGTCTGTTCTGGTATATTATACCCATTTCGAGAGGATAAAAGTTACATCAACGAGTGTCCAAGTCAAAGCAATACCAATCTACATGATAAATGAGAAGAAACCTCCTTTTACTTTTTCCTGCACTGTGCGCCTTGAATCCAAGACACAGAATAACAAAAAGTAGTGCACAATTTATTTCCTTGTTATAAAACATCTAATCTATAAGAGGTGTGTGCTAGTCCAATAGCAACCCTGCTTTGCTACTTCAGCTGTTCAGCATGCAAAAACAACCACCCGAGTTATTCTGCCGACGAGTAATGAGGTTTGCAGTTAGTGTTACATTCTTATCACTTTACTGTCATATAGTACCAATTAAGAATAAGAAATTCAGGAATGAAGAACTCTAATTTGTTAGTAATAAGTTACAATACTGTAGAAAAATAAGTGGAAAGACACAAAATCATACCCTGAATCACGCCTGTTTCTCCAATACCGGTTAATGGTATTTTTGAAATAAACTGATGCCAACAAACGAACATCCACCTGACATGCCAAATCCTTTGCACTTATCACTTCCTGCGTCAAAAGGAACCTTCATCACACAAACTCCGTGAATACTTATACAGATATAGGTCTGTGAATACACACAACATAATTAACATCCATACAAACACCATTGAGTATGTATTTAATCAAAACCCTATAAATGAGGAAAACGGGGAGATTACCATGAGACAAGAGCAGAAACCTGGTTTGCTTTCCGACTGAGAGAGGGCGATTTCGGCCGGTTTGCGCACGTTCTCGTCCCCACTTAACGAATTGGTGAGCAAATTATACATTGCAGGTAGGTCGGAAGCTGAGAGAGCCATCGATGATAACAATCAATCACAGTATATGCTCCAGAGATGAATAATAATAGTGTTCGGAACCAGATCAGTGAAATTGAGAACTAGAGAGAAGATGGAAGATTTAGGGTTTTGGAAGATGAAGATTTTAGTGTGAGGCGTGTTTGATGACTGACTGTGTCAAATTATACTCTAAAGCGAGCCTTTGTACGATTCGCCAACGAAATTATTCTATTCCAGTCATTTTAGCTCTTCGCATTGCTGTCTGTGTGTATATGTATGTGTTGTATATGTATGTGTATATCCTAGAAGCAAAAACCCTCGACTTTTACAAGGGAAGACTCTCTCTCTCTTTGCTTCTCTCAGTTTCTCTCTCTACATTTGTGTTCTGCGTCCGTTTATACCCATGTCCTCCAAAAACAAGAAATGACCATTTTCATATTCTCGGTTTTACTAGCACAATTTTTCCAATAAACTGCACAGTACCTCCTAAATGAAACTTTTTTGAATTGACGGCTTGTAATTTTTTTATTTTTTTGTTTACCTGGACGGCTTGTAATTCGCATCTTAATATTTTTTAAAATATTTTTTTTTTATTTTTTGGCATTTGACTAGGAAAATTTTATTATTAAAACTTAACAAAATAATTTATTGATCAATTTTAGAAAAGTCATTTTACATGCCCAATGGATTCACCTTCAACTTTGACCTAAACATATGTCAAAAACCCAAAAAAAATAAAAGGTTAAATTGCATTGACACCCCCTGAGATTTCGATCAATGTCGTTCAGATACAAGTCAACGGTTTTTTTAACAATAACACCCTTGTGATTTCAAATGTCATATTTTGCCCCTAATTATTTAATTTATTAATTTACAAAAAAAATGCCCTATTAACTGACAAAGTTACAAAACTACCTTCATCATTATCCCTCTTTCTCTACCCTAATCTTTAATTCTTTATTTTTATTTTTATTTTGGTTCATTTTAGTACCTAGCCGCCAACACTCCCTCTCTCTCTTCTCGATCTCGGACATGGCTGTTTTTTTTCTCCTGTTACGGTGGGTCTGGGTTGGCCATGGTTGTTTTTTATTTTTATTTTTTTCTAGTCTGGTAGTGGTTGCTGTGGTGTGGGTGTGGTGGTATCTAGGTTATCAGGGTGTTTCAAAAAAGAAAAAAATTCTATTGTGCTAGTGATGGTGGTTCTTGTAGCGTCTGGGTGTGTTGGTGGTGTTGTCTTTGTGTGGTGACGGTTCTGGTGGCGTTTGGGATGTATAAGTATAGGTTAGGTGGTACAAGTATTATTATATATAAATTATATCTATATGTATAGAAGAGATGAAGAGGTTAGTTTGGTTCATTAAATTTATTTAGGATGTTAAATTTGTAATTTCATGATTTAAATGAAATTGTTGACAAGTCAAAAGTTTAAAAAGTAATTTCATATAATTTCAAAGGTCTTGAGGGAGTGTCAATGTACATTTTTGAGACCTCATGGGATGTTAATGTAAAAAAAGCCATTGATCGTCCGTTGAGTGATATTAACCAAAATCTCAGGGGGTATCTGTGCAATTTACCCAAAACAAAAATAAAAAATAAAAAATATATATTTACTTAAAAAAGGAAAATCTCTCCTCAAGAAAATATTTTACGTCAAACGGAGCCTAAAATACATATTTGTTGCCATGATTAATTGAATTATTTTTTCTTTATGCGACCAAAAATAACATAAATGAAATGATGAAAATGTGGTCATTAATAAATTGGGTCAAGTGCACAAGACATCCATATAGTATGCTTATAGTACATCTCACATCCTTAGGGCCCGTTTACTAACGCTTTCACTTTCTTACTTTTACTTTCTTCAAAAGTAAAATCATTTTACTTTTTTGAGATGGAATAGGAAGTAAAATGATGTTTAATTTTATTTTTACTATTTTGAAAGTAAAAAATAGAAAGTAAATTTAATAATTTTAATTTTAATTTTGCTTTCCTATTATATTTCTCTCTCTAAACAAAAACAGCGGCTGAAATCTCGCGAAGAAGACGATGTTGAACCAGCACGACGAGATGGATTGAAACAACGATGACTTCTGATATTATGCTCGGCGACGACGAGCGCCACACATCCGACCACCACCATATCCAATCCCACCACCAAAAATTAACTTCGGCAAACCCATTTCACCCACAACCTTCGCATCTTCACCCATCTTCAAAATCAAGGTAATTGTTTTTCTCCTTCGCTTTTTGAAATTAAGGTCATTGCTTTTCTCACATGACCTCTGATCGGATGGTACAAAAACGATCGCATCACAAGAATTTCATGTGTCATCTCCAATTTTAAAACCCCAGTCAATTTCTGGCCTCTACAAACGGCCTCTTGCTTCTAATCGAGATAATTTCTCAGGCATTGAGACCCACCTGTTCGTCAATACTCTCTACACATACAGATTGCTTGAATGCAGAAATGATATGCTCATGAAGAACCCAAGCCCAATGAACAGCCACAACTTCTGCCATGAAAACGCAGATGTTTCAACATCGTAATCATTCATCGTCTGCTTCTTTGCCAACTTCGATGAGGTTTGACTTTCTCGGTGGATTCGTATGCTTTTCTTGTCTGAGATAATGAGTCAATTGAAGGGTGTGATTCAGATGGGTCAAGGGAAGATCAGGTCTGTTGTGGACTAGGAAGGGCCAAAGAAGGACAGAACAGCTACAGCAGTTACCACAAAGCAGAACAAAGTCTTTGTGGAGCAATCTCTATTCCACTTTGGGTGGCGATGGCTTCATTATGGGTCTGTTAATTTGAGAGAGTGTGCTACAGTAAAAGGAAGTAATTCCTTGCTACAGTACAGAAAATACAGAAAGTGAGAATTTTTCACTTTCTCTTCTCTTTACAAAATTAGAAAGTACTTCCTTAAAGTTGAAAAGTAAAAATATTTTACTAAACATGATTTTCACTTTTGATTCCTAATTTAGAAATTGACAATAGAAATCAGGAATTAATTCCTGTTACTAAACACCTAAATTTAACTGTTAATTCCTAATGTGCATAAAATATCTCTAAAGTTTCAATTTAGTGCAAATATATCTCTTTTGACACATTTAAGTTATAGTTTGACTAAATTGCCCTTATATATTTATACATTTTATATATTATTTTAAAATGTATAATTTTATGAAATGACGAAAATGGTTATTTAGTATATGGGGGGTGTGATACGCATTGTAAGCATATTATAAGGATGTTTTTTGCACTTTATTAACTATTGTTGTTTTGAATCTTGTAATCTTAACGGTTAAATTTAATTGCAAACGTAGTTTTATCGCCATTTGAATAATATGATGATGGTAGGTGATTGAACACCCAATTATTTATTTATTTATTTATTTTTCCTAAATTCCCATTTATTTATTTATTTAGTTATTCTCGATAAAGATTAAATACCCATTTGTTGCTATGTAAAGAATTTTATATATTATATATATGTATGTATATATATATGCGAAAATTTATTGCAAATTCTAAAGTTTAAAAAATTAAATGTATATTATTTATATATAATGAATAAGTACCTTTAATTTAATTTTTTATTTATATATTTAATGAAAACTAATAATTGTATTAAAATTTAATTGGGAATAATTTTTTTTTATAATTATAAAAGGAACTGAAATTTTTATTCCATACGATATACTGTACATTAATTTGACAATTGTGACAATAATTTTTTTTTTAGAAGAGAGAATACATGGTTAGCCAAAACATATAGAGAGAAAAAATTTCGAAAATGTGAGAGAAAATCCTTAAAAGTTGGTTAAATATAGTTAATGTGAACATAACACTCATATACTATGAGATTATTAGCATAGACACCCTTTGGGCATTTTTTTATGAGTAAAAGGGCAAAATGAGTATTACAGTATTACTTTATTAACAATTTATAATTGAGGGGTGTTTCTGCATAATTTTTAAAGAATAGGGGTGTTTTTAGCACACTTTTTCAAATAAGGATAAAAATGCTACACAAAATATACATTAGGAGTGTTTTCTCCACTTGACCCTAATAAAATTACTTTACAAACTCGAAAACTAAAAATGTTTATACATTACTAATATACACAGTGTTATTTAAAATTTTTAAAGAATAAGAGAGTTTGGCATACTTGGTATATACCCAAAAGAATAAGGATTGTTAGTTAACTTCCATACCGTACTATTTTGTACAATTAGTAATGTATGAAAAGTTTTACAGGAGGTTTTGTACAATTATCCCTAATATTTTTTATTCTCTTAAAAAGTCTAGTGAATTTTACAAACAAAAATTGTAAACTAAACCATCCAATGCTAACTGCAACATTTAAATGTACTAGGAAAAATATACGTAATTCAAAATATTTTTAAATAAATAAATATTTTTATAATTATAAATAATATATAATAACATAACATAAAAGATAACAAAATTATACAACATAGGTTAACTTACTATTAAATACTTAAAATGTTACTTGATAAACAATATAAAAAAATAATCACCATTGTAAAAGTGGTTTGTATCTGTTGGTTTGTATTTAATTTAATTTATTAAGTACTTAATATATTATTTGATACAAAATATTTTAAAATAATAATCAATCAATCTATATCTATACTAAAAATAAAGGGTAAGACTTTTTATTATTTTTATACATTTTTACAAATTTTTTAAATCAGAAAATAAAATTTTCAATTGACATCTTATCCCAAACAAAGGTAACAAACATTCTGTTTTAATATGTTTATTTCATGACCTTCTTTTTTGTAATTATTAGTTATTTGGTTCTCTTGCTTATTCATTGTCACAATTTTGTTAAATATGTTTAGTTGACTCAATAGTAGTAGTAGAGAAATATTTATATTCCTATTCGTATTGTTTTTTTTTTTTGTTTAGCAGAATTTCATTCACTTTACTATATGTTGATGTAAAAATTCTTGCGACTCGGAACGACGATGTTTACTTGCAAAATAATGGAGATTAAGTCAACTCAAATGGCATTGGTGGGATGCCGGTCGAGGACACTCCGACGATCAAGTCAGTGCTTAGAATCGTATAACAGAAATTAGTTATGTATTGAATATTTTAGAGTTTTTCTCATACCTCATTTAATGGCCATCTACCGTATTTATGGTTGCATCGGGATCCAAACGGTTACGTAGATGTCGATTAAGGAGATTTTGTTTATCTTTTCTAACTGATTACTCCTATCTTCGTCAATTGAATGATTTACGCTCTTTTCTACGAAGTTGAAGGGAATGGTACAGTAAAGACAATAATCAAACTTAGGGTATATTTTTTCCCTAAAAATTAAAGATTTTTTTTTTTTTTTTTACCCCGAGATACTATTCCCAAGGTGAAT